GTCCAGTCTGTACCTTACTCTTGAACATAGATGCGATGTGTGTGTGCGGAGTGAGAAGAGGCAGAGAGCACATGTGTGGAGTGGGTGCTGTGAGATACTTAGCAACTCTAGGGGAGTGTTTCTATGGGTATTATGTGGGCTTGAAAATTTTCGAAATAAAAAAAATAATAAGACTCCCCTTTTAAACAAAAACAATCCAAATCGTAGTGTTATGGGCTGAACTGTGTTCCCCAAAAAGAGTTTTCAAGTTCTAACCTCAGGAACCTCAAAATGTGTCTTTATCTGGAAACAGGATGTTTGCAGATGTAATGAGGTCACACCGGGGTAGGGCGGGCCCTTCACTCAAGGCGACTGGTGTCTTTCTGAGATTAGGTTTCGGGGAGACAGACACGGACACACATTTGACCAGAGAGGTGGAGCCGCAGGTGACACCTCTGCAGCCCGAACTGGCAGCCACAGCCAGAAGCTGAAGAGGTGGGGAAGGCGCCCCCTGCAGGTCCGAGAAGGAGTGACACCCTGCTTACACCTTGATTCTGGACTCTGGCCTCCAAAACTGGGAAAAAGGGAATTTCTGTTGTTTTAAGCCACTTGGTTTGTGATACGTCGTTGTAACGGTCCTAGGACACTAATACACATAAACACAGCAACTAAATGATACGTCAGAATTATTCCCATGAAAGTCAAAAGCAGAAAGGATGGCTGCTACTGCCACTTCTAATCAACATTAGAGAGGTAGAAGGAAAATTATCTTCAGCTGATGGAAAATGCAAGCGACTCTACCCATCAATCACTAACAATTAAGTTTACTGAGGTTTCTGTTTATATGATCAAATACACCAAAAGATCTCATTCCTATATACCAGTAATAAAACAGGAGGGGCCCAAATCACAATTTTAAAAACAGCAACTAAAAAAATCAAGATAAAAAGAAATATCTTTGCACATGATATCTATAGAGCAAATGACAAAACACCAAAAGAATATAACAGCAAAATAAATGTCCATGGATGGGAGCATTTATTATCAAAAAGATGTAAATTCTTAACCATTTTAATCTATCATCTCTATAAATTCCAGTGAAAATCTCAACTCATTTTTCCTGGAACTTGATAAGAAAATCCTAGCTAAGACACTTTCACAGAATGAAGTGAAAAGATTTCACCTACAAATCTTATCAAGTTGTACTAATCTAGAGAGAGCGTCATTAGCCGAGAAATACAAAAATATAACCATAGAGCGGAAGAGATGCTGGAAATAGACCCAGGAATACACAGACATTTAATAAAATGATGGAAATAGCATTGCAACCAGTGAAGAAACGGTGGACGATTCAATGAACGGTGTGGGGGAAACTGGCTATTCATTATGAAAAACTGACATGACATTCTTAACTTACACCATTCCCAGAACAACCAACTCCAGCTAGACTCACAGGTTAACGTAAAAGGCAAATTTTTTGTTACCCTGTGGAAGAAACGAAAGAAGAGTATCATCATGATCTCAGCATAAGGAAGAATTTCTTGAACAGGACACAAAAACCAAAAATCATAAATAAAAAATATTAATACATTTGGTTTTTTAAAATTAAGTTAAAGCCAGCTACTATTATAATAAGATTCCAAAATGATAATGGCGCAAATGCAATAGAAGTTCATCTCTACGCATTCAGCCAACCAGGGCAGGTGCTCCTGACTGGGGAAGCCCTCCACGTGGTCATTCGGGGATGCAGGCTGGCAGAGGCTCTTCAACCCATAGCCTCCAAAGTCACTTAGTCGTCTCTGCCCCAGCCAGCCAGAACAGGAAATAAGAGTGTGGAGGAGACAGACCGGCTTCCTAAGAGCCTTGGTCAGGAAATGGTACGTTACTTGCACTTACATCCCACGGCCAAAACTTAGTCACAAGGCTATTCCCATTGAAGAGAGGCTAGGAAGTTCAGTCTAGCTCTGTGCCTAGCAGGAGGAAGTGGGCTTTTTGGTGAACTTAAACACTTAAACATTTCTGGCCAGGTGAGGTGGCTCACGCCTTTAATATCAGCACTTTGGGAGGCTAAGGCAGCCAGACCACTTGAGGTCAGGAGTTCAAGACCAGCCTGACCAACACAGTGAAACCCCGTCTTTACTAAAAATACAAAATATTAGCCAGGTATGCTGGTGGGCACCTGTAATCCCAGCTAGTCAGGAGGCTGAGGCACAAGAATCACTTGAACCCAGGAGGCAGAGGTTGCAGTGAACCAAGATTGTGTCACTGCACTCCAGCCTGGGCAACAGAGTGAGACGCTGTTTCAAAATAAATGAATAAATAAGTAAATAATAAATAAAATTCTGCTCAACATAAGACATCCTGGTGAAGAAGAAAAGATAGGCTGTAGCCTGAGGAATGATATTCTCAGTGTTCATAACATAGAATTTCTGTTATAAGGACATGTTGAATCAATAACAAAAAGATAAACAACACATTAGAAAAATTGGCAAAGGATATGAACAGATAAATCCACAGAAAAATGATTTGTAAGCAATCCATGAAAATATAAAAAAATTCAACAGCAGGTAATACCAAGAAAAGAAAAGATGGCCTATGTTTTGGCCAACTGTGGCGAACATTGAAAGGTGGGTCATATTCAGCTCTGGCTGCAGAGAAAGGGCACTTTATCAATGTGATCAGACTGTTAATTGGTACAAACTTTTCAATGAAAATTTGGCATTATCTTTCAAAATTTAAAATAAAAATTCTTTTCTCCAGCAATCTCACTTTCAGGAATTTATCTCATAGGCACAATCAATCACACACTTGCACAAAGATCTATGTTCACCAGCTGTAACTGCTGCATTTTTGAAGTAATAATATAAAAGAAAAACCACCAGTTCAGAGATGGCTAACCAAGTTACGACAATCAATTGTAAAATCCATATGGGCTGGGAGCTGTGTCTCATGCCTGTAATCCCAGCACTTTGGAAGGCCAAGGAGGTAGGATCATTTGAGGTCAGAAGTTCAAGACCAGTTTGGCCAACATGGCGAAACCCTGTTTCTACAAAAAATACAAAAAATTAGCTGGGTGTGGTGGCATCCACCTGCAATCCCAGCTACTGGGGGAGGCAGAGGCAGGAGACTGAGATCACACCACTGCACTCCAGCCTGGGCGACAGAGTGAGACTCTGTCTCAAAAAATAAAAATAAAAAATAGAATCCATATGAAATGTCATTCAACACAGCAATTCAAAACTGAGGTAAGTCTTAAGTACTGTCATGGGAAAAGTTCCAAAAATTAAAAATAAAAGAGTAAGTCTCAGGACAATACAGATAGTATGATTCCATATATTTAAAAGTCCCAGGCGGGGCACGGTGGCTCACACTTATAATCCCAGCATTTTGGGAGGCTGAGGTGGGCAGATCATTTGAGGCCAGAAGTTCAAGGCCAGCCTGGCCAACATGGCGAAACCCCATCTCTTCTAAAAGTACAAAAATTAGCCGGGCGTAGTAGCAGGTGCCTGTAATCTCAGCTACTTGAGAGCCTGAGGCAGGAGAATCACTAGAACCCAGGAGGCGGAGGTTGCAGATTAAGCCACGGCACTCCAGCCTGGGTGACAGAGGGAAACTGTCTCAAAAAGAAAAAAAAAGTAAAATAAATAAAAATCCTTAACCCTGTGTATGTATATAATATATATGCATAAAAATGAGGGTCTGAAAAGACGTACTCCATATTGGTTTCTCTTGAATTTTGGACAATGAATATGTATTATCTTTGTAGTTAAATAAGAGAATGTCTCCACTGGTCAGGCCAACACGGAAAAAGAGAATCCAATTTCACTTTGTTCTTTTTGGGCTTCATTCTTAAGCAGGTGTCTCCTGCTAAGGAGCAGGGCCGTTTTATCAGCTTGCAACGCAGCCTGAGGAATGACCTTACTATGATTCACCTCCTGTGGTTCCAGCTCAGTGTTCTGTCAACATTCCCCTCGTGTGGCAGGAGGTGTGATTGGAGGAGGCATGGACCCTCTAGCAAGCTGCTCAGATGCTCCTGGGACTCAGCCGTCCAGCAGTGTTGACAGCCAATGGCTCACAACAGGGTGCCTCCCCAGGATTGCCCTTGGTCAGCCACGGCTACCATGTTCCAAGGTCATATCTGCGGTGTTCATATCCAGTGACTGGTCCATGCCTGGTCTCCTTACCTGGATCTGGATCCCTTTGAATGGCTCTCGGTGGCAGCCCTGGGAGTGTGCTGCTCAGATGTCCCTTCACAAGAACTTGCTGCGGGGGATGGATCTGAGCACTTCCCACTGCCAAAGCTTTGGGATCTACTGAAGCCCGTGCCAAGGTCATGTCGTTCCCACGGTGCTCCCACCCAGTGACTAAGCACAGTGTGTGGGTGGTGGGGAGGAACTGGACATGTGCCACCTGGTTCCAGTACAGGCCTTGCTGACGAGCAACTTTCAAACTGGGGCTTCCGCCAGCCCACTGAGCCTTTCTGAGCCCTGCACCCTGTCTGAAACTCTTCAAAGTAAGCCTCCTTCTCTCCTCCTCCACGTGTTTCAGACCAGAAGCGTCAGCTCACGCTTTTTCGTCTGTTCTCCTATCCCTTGCCCCATAAACTCTTTCCCTTGTCATTTCACTGTGGGGCCCTGGCTTCAGAGGACCCCATGGATGAGCCTGCAGCTCCCTCCTGCCCACTCTACCCCCAGTCTTCCTGTCCTCCCTCCTGTGGCTCCCAGTGGGTCCCCTGTGGTTGAAACTCCATCTCAGAGTTGGTCCTCGGGAACTCCGCCTGTGAGAGGTGCTGACATTATGGTCCTTGCTAAAGAATAGCTTCAACCCAAAATAGCAAACTGACATTTTAAAGCAGAATGCTTTCAGAGGCAAAAGAAGATTAAAGGCTCCTCTGGCTGGAATAGATTTCCATTCTTCTGGTGAAGTAGACAGAGACACAGAAGGGCTCCCCGCGGAAGCATGATGCCTGGAAGGGGAGATCTCTGGACCGTCCCTGGCTCTGGTCCCAGGAATGTTCCTACCTGAAGCATGAGAAGCTCCAATCAGTCTGGCTCGAATCAGCCCCTCTCTCTTTTTGTTTCTTATTATTTTAATCTTTCCCCGAAAAGTTTCCAGGTGATAGTCTAGTTTTTCTTTCAAATCATCTGGAAAAATATTCAACACATGCGAATGTATAAACTGCAACTAGAGAAATTAAAACAGTGTATCATCGTTATGACTTATTCCTAAAATCCATGCTAATCCACAGAAGCTTTCACTTTAAAAGAATTGTTTGGGCCAGACGCGTGGCTCACGCCACTGACATTTTAGGAGGCCAAGGTGGGTAGATCACATGAGGTCAGGAGTTTGAGACCAGCCTGGCCAACATGGCAAAACCCCATCTCTACTAAAAATACAAAAATCAGCCGGGCATAGTGGTGGGTACCTGTAATTCCATCTACTTGGGAGGCTGAGGCAGGAGAATAGCTTGAACCTGGGAGGCAGAGGTTGAAGTGAGCTGATACTGTGCCACTGCACTCCAGCCTGGGTAACAAGAGCAAAACTCCGCCCCCACCCCCCCAAAAAAAGAGAATTTTTATTCTATTTAAGGGAGAGAAAGAAAAGTGATTCACTATTAAAATCAACTGTAAATATTTTTCTTTTTGTTTTTCGTTGAGACAGGGCCTCACTCTATTACCAAGGTTGGTAGTGCAGTGGCATGATCACAGCTCACTGCAGCCTTGATCTCCTGGGATGAAGCAACCCTCCTGCCTCAACATCCTGAGTAGTTGGGACTACAGGTATGCACTACCACATCTGGCTAATTTTAAAATTTTTTGTAGAGATAGTATCTTGCTATATTGCCCAGACTGGTCTTGAACTCCTGGCCTCAAGGGGTCCTCCCACCTCGGTCTCCCAAAGTTCTGGGATTACAGGTGTGAGCCACCATGCCTACCCCTGTAACTATTATTCTGTGGTTCTACTGGATACCTCTATTTTAGTAAATCACTATTAACATTTTAATAGAAAAATCATGCATTACAGAGCTTTGGCGCAATCTGGCTTTGCTACTATCTGTGCTTCTAACTTTATAGTCGTTTTTAGGAGAGTTCCTCAGCTGAGAGAATGGATGAGCATCATGTTCCTGTTGGAACTCTATCACAAGGAAGAAATATATCACCCAGCACAGATCCTGGGACCCGATAGTCACTTAATATTTGGAAGTTAATATGATGATAAAGGAGGCTGGGAGCCGGTGAGATGGATGCAGATGCCTGAGGTTGAAATTTCCAAGTCCCAGGAATCTGGGGCCACGAGCAGGTTCAACAGGAGCAGGTTCATGGTAACCCAGCAGAAGGGATCTCCTTCCTCGTTTTTAGAAAGAGGAAGGCATACAGGCTGCACCTGCAGGCCTGGGCAACATTTCAGCTCAAAGGTCTCCAGACTATCGGGTGACTATCGGGTCCCAGGCTCTGTGCTGGGTGATATATTTCTTCCTCATACTAGAGTTCCAACAGGAACATGATGCTCATCCATTCTCTCAGCTCACATCCAGGATGTAGGAGGCAGCAGAAGGAGGGAGAAGTTGGATGCCATGAGCCGGGCCCTAGAGGAGATAAAGGCATTGAGGCAGCAGCAGTCACTGACTAGGAAGCGGAGGGCTTGGGTTTTTTAGATGTTCATGTTGCTGGCTTGCGGTCTAGAGGGACCAGGACTATGGGAAAAGTGAACGGCATCAGGTCCTGGACAGGCTGTTTCTGTAACTCAGTGCGGGCGGCTGCCTGGGCCTCTGGTGCTGCTCCCCAACGCTGAGCAGTCTATCAGCAGTACCTGTGGGTGTCAGCTGGGAAAGAAACTGCCCTTAAACCCGTGACGAAGTCACTGTGAATTAAAGGCAGGAAGGAGTCAACCCGGAGCTCCATCCGAGGCTTGAACACCCTGCTCCTGCATTTGAGGCTCCCGTGGGTCAAAGGCTCAGATTGAGGAGGAGAAGCAGAGGTGTCTGGTTGGGCAGTATACCCACATGTTGGCAGCAGCGACCCCCTCATCTCTTATGAAGGGGGCCACGATGTATGATGAACCTGTGAGAAGGTTGACACACATTATGGCCTGGATGTTTGTGTCCCCACTAAAATTCAAAGTACCGGGCCAGGCGCGGTGGCTCATGCCTGTAATCCCAGCACTTTGGGAGGCAGAGGCGGGTGAATCACGAGGTCAAAAGATCGAGACCATCCTGGTCAACATGGTGAAACCCTATCTCTATTAAAAATACAAAAAATTAGCTGGGCATGGTCGTGCGTGCCTGTAATCCCAGCTACTCAGGAGGCTGAGGCAGAAGAATTGCCTGAACCCAGGAGGCAGAGGTTGCAGTGAGCCGAGATGGTGCCATTGCATTCCAGCCTGGGTAACAAGAGTGAAACTCAGTCCCCCCCCAAAAAAAAAAAAATTCAGAGTACCCACAATATGATGGTATCTGTGGGTGGGGCCTTGCAGGGGCACAACTGGGCCATAGAGCCAGATTGCTCTTTCCACAACATGAGGATGTAGTGGAAAGATGGCTGTCCATCACCCAGGAAGAGGCCCTCTGTAAGAACTGGACCTGGTGGCACCCTGATCTTGGACTTCCAACCAGGACTCTGAGAAATAAATGTTTGTTGTTTAAGCAACCCACTTTGTGGTGTTTTGTTACAACAGCCAAGCTAAGATACCAGATACGTCTCTAAATTCATGGTTCTGAAAGGCTGGGCAAGGTATCCATCCTATGGTCATTCCTGGCATGGTGTCCCCATGGCAGAATCCTTGTACTTCTGGGTGAGAAGTTAGAATTCCACAGTCTGTCAGGTTATCCCACTCTGTCCTCTGCTGGTGGCTTTCCCAGTGACTTCTTGACCATAAGTTTTCTTTTGAGCAGATGAGGCAGCGTGGGTGACGTGGGCAGCAGGGAAGCCAGGCCCTCACTCCACACTCTTCCCATGCACAAGGCTAGAAATAAACAGTCTTGTGACCTCAGATATTGGTGACCCCCTTAAAAATGGTGTTATTTATGACAGGTGCCTGGCCAGCCTCTACAGTTCCAACACACAACTGCCAGTGACTTGAGTCACATTCAGGAGTCACCTAGATTCACTTCCCAGAGGGTGAACCTCAGGGATGGCTGCTTCCTCTGCCTATTCTTCTTACTGCTCCTCCTCCTCGTTTTGCTTCTGATTTCATAGTGGGTCACGTTTACAGTGGATTGGGAAGACTTTCAGCCTGAACCTTACCCAGTATTGACATTATTGCTTGGGTACTGCTGGCTTGCTGAAGGTTTGCACTCCGTTGTAAATTAGACAAGTAATTTCAAATTCTAAGTGTTGCTAACTAGTGTTAGTATCATGATTCTTTAAAACCAGTAAGCATGGAAGAATACACACTGAACTGCAGTGGGCCCGATTCCACTTCTTTCATGGAATTCCTAGATCATCTCATTTTCCTGCATTAAGCCCTTCATAGCTCCTCATAGCCTCAAGATAAAATTCAAGCAATGCCTTTTATGAGCAGTTCCCCCCAACACACTTTTTTAAAGTGATGGGGTTTTGCCATGTTGCCCAGGCTGCTCTCGAACTCCTAAGCTCAAGGGATCTGCCCACCTTGGCCTCCCAAAGTGCTGGGATTACAGGTGTGAGCCACGGGGCCAGGCTGGGAGCTCCCTTTTCATAACTCTGGTTCCGCTCACCTCACCCCTGCAACTCTGTACTCATGCATAAACTACACATAATGTGGTAGCATGTATTTCAAGCTCACTGTGTCTTCTCTTGCCTCTGGGCCTTTACAATGCTGCTTGAGCTGCCTAAAACACCTTTCCCTTCCTCTCTACCTGGATTATTCCAACTCACCATTCAGATGTCAATTGACACGTCACTTCTCCCTGAAGGTATCTCTAAGGATGTGGACGGTGCCCCTTTGTTTATGCTGTGGAAGCACTGCCCCTCTATCCCTCTGCCAAGAGCCCAGACCTCACATGTCCACCATGCGCCAAGGGCCCCTAGTGCAGTACCTGCCCCAGTACCCACCAAAAAGATTCTTTGTACAAAATACTCAAGTGCCATTGGGGAGTGCACTACGTTCAAGGTAGATTAGATAGCTGGGCGTGGTGGCTTACATCCCAGCACTCTGGGAGGCTGAGGTGGACAGATCACTTGAGTTCAAGAGTTCGAAATCAGCGTGTTCAACATGCTGAAACCCGTCTCTACTCAAAATACAAAAATTAGCCGGGGATGGTAGTGTGTGCCTATAATCCCAGCTACTTGGGAAGCTGAGGCAGGAGAATGTCTTGAACCCAGGAGGCAGAGGGTGCAGTGAGCCGAGATGGTGCCACTGGACTCCAGCCTGGGTAGTGGAGCAAGACTCCATCTCAACAACAGCAGCAACCAAAGTAGATTAGAGGATGAGCTTTCTATCTCACCAACTTCGCTCATGTCATCTACCAAATAATTTCTTCAAGCAAATGGTGTGGCGTGAGGTTCCAGACGCTGGACATGGTCCGAAACAGGGCGTTAAATTCTTCATTATAGAAGCAAATGACAATGCTGGCAGTCGGGAGGCGGACTGGGTAACGTTTTTGAAGACACCTGCAGGCAGAAACAATGAGAAGAAAAGATCCATCTAAATGCCTTGGATGTTTTGCCAAGTCATTCAAACACTTTTCCTTATTTGCATCTTTTTAACCCTTTACACCTTCCAGGGATAATTATGGTAATAAGATGACAGTACATCTAAAAACACAAAAATGTATTTAACATCTTATGTTGTTCTAGAATTTTCTGAATCATTTCCCCCTTCTTGTCAGTAATAATTGCTCTGTCCTGAGACTGTGTTGATAGTCTTAGTTCTATTTTAAACATAGTATAAACACAAATTATATTCATATATTAGCTTCTGTTATAAAAATGAATTAGTTTTCTCTTTTTTTTTGCTGTCGCCATGGCAGAAGAGATAAAAATGAATTATTAAGCTTGCAAGTTGAAAGGTGTACATTAACCTTATTGTGCTGTCTTCAGAGAAAACTCCAGCTTTATTCTTATATTTGTGGAGTCTGTTGCAACAAAAAAGTGTGGTAGATATGGTCTAATTGGATTTCTTCTGAATATTTGACAAAAATGCTTTATTTTATTTTTATTTTTTTGAGATGGAGCTTTGCTTTTTTTCGCCCAGGCTGGAGTATAATGGTGTGATCTTGGCTCACTGCAACCTCTGCTTCCTGGGTTCAAGTGATTCTCCTACCTTAGCCTCCTGAGTAAATGGGACTATATGGGTGTGCCACTATGCCCGGCTAATTTTTTATATTTTTAGTAGAGATGGGGTTTCACCATGTTGGCCAGGCTGGTCTTGAACTCCTGACCTCAGGTGATCCACCTGCCTCAGGCTCCCAAAGTATTTGGATTACAAGCATGAGCCATCCCCCCAGCCCAAAAATATTTTATTTATTATTTGTGCATATGAGGGAAACAAAGAGGCTGAATTCTGGAATTCTAATAGTATTAGTTATTATTATTTAGATTGATATATTATTTGGTTATATTCTAAAATATTTTGGTTGTAAATTAAATAAATTTACTGGAGCTAACTTTAGCAAAAGAAAGGGAGGTGTGGCTGGTGTGACGGCGCTCATGCCTGTAATCCCAGCACTTTGGGAGGCTGAGGTGTGCAGATCACCTTAGGTCAGGGATTTGAGACCAGCCTAGACAATATGGCAAAACCCTATTTTTACTAAAAGTACAAAAATTAGCCAGATGTGCTGGTGCGCACCTGTAGTCCCAGCTACTAAGGAGGCTAAGGCAGAGAACTGCTTGAACCCGGGAGGGGAAGTTGTAGTGAGCCAAGATTACACCACTGCTTCCGGAAGGGGGGAAGAGGGAAAGGGAAGAAGGGAGGAAAGGAGGAAGGGAGGGAGGGAGGAAGGGAGGCAGGCAGGCAGGAAGGAAGGACAGAGAGATGTATTGTGAACCGACTCAGATGTCTCACAGGACCTAGCAGCTACAGCAGCTGTAGCCTCAAGGAATAATTACAACTACAGGCTTGACTGACGTCTGGATACTCTCCATCTCTGCTTTTGTCTTTACATCTCGGAAAAGTAATAACAGCAATATCAACCTACCTCCAAGGGCTCTGAAGTTTCAGTGAATTAACATGTCTGCTCATGGTGCGCAGAGCAGTGCCTGGCATGCAGTAAGTATTCAGACAGAAGGCTCATTACACGATCATGATTCTTCCTCTGCAAATACGCTTGTTTCCACTTCTTTAGTGGGAAATGTGATTGACATCAGCGTATCTTATAGGAAGTACCCAGGGAGAAACTGGTGGGACGTTACGTTTTCCAAGGTGAAATATTGGCCGGAAAAGATTCATTGGCCCAGCTTTGCCATAGGTGCCTATCCCCGGGTTCACCAACTGGGGCCAGAAAATGGAGTCAAAATAAATCATCATTGTTACCTCTGCAATCACATGGAAAAGGGGAAAAACAGCGAGAAAGGAGGGCTGGACAGGCAATCCTACAGGCATCCCGGACAGTCCCCTCAGGGAACTCACAAAATGAAGTCACCAGGGAAGGAGAGGGCCTTGTCCTGGTCCTCATTTTTATCCAAGACAAGATGAAGACATAGAAGTCACATCCACTGAGTGGAACTAACATCAGACTCAAAGGAATGGAGAGCCTGAGGGACAGGGCCAAGGAAAGACCGGAGCAATGGGAATGACGCCACCTGCACTTGGGTCTGGAACGATGAGTGGAAAATGCAGCTGTGCAGAAACATGTGGAAAAACAATTAAAAGGCCTAATGGCTCACACCTGTCATCCTGGCACTTCAAGAGGCCGAGGTGGGTAGATCACCTGAGGTAAGATGTTCGAGACCAGCCTGGCCAACATGGTGAAATCCTGTCTCTACTAAAAATACAAAAATCAGCCAGGTGTGGTGGCACATGGCTGTAATCCCAGGTACTCAGGAGGCTGAGCCCAGAGAATTGCTTGAACCCAGAAGGCAGTGAATTGAGATCGCACCACTGTACTCCAGCCTGGGTGACAGATTGAGACTCCATCTCAAAAAAAAAAAAAAAAAAAATCCAGTAAGATCACTGAGTTATGAGAGAGAAATAGGAGAGAAAGAGAAAACATGATGCTAGCCTCAACTAAGAAAAGGCCAATACCATGAATAAGAGAAGCGGTGGTCCAGAATGACTGGTGCTGCTAAAATCGCACCTGTGATGTCATGGTCAGTCCTGGGTGTATCACTTTAAGAAAACTGCAAATAAACTGTGTCCCTTCAGTTTGATGATGGTGGAGGAGCCTGAAAGTCACATGAGGACTCAAGATCCCCAAGAGAACCTGGTGTGTGTGGGTTTCTCAAAAATAGATCAGGGCCAGCGCAGTGGCTCACGTCTTTGGGAGCCTGAGGCAGGCAGATCACTTGAGGTCAGGAGTTTGAGAGCAGCCTGGCCAACACGGTAAAACCCCATCTCTACTAAAAAAAAAAAAAAAAAAAAAAAAAATTTAGCAAGGTGTGGTGCCAGATGCCTGTAATCCCAGCTACTCAGGAGCCTGAGGCAGGAGGATCACTTGAACCCGGGAGGTAGAGGTTGCAGTGAGCCTCCACTCCAGCCTGGGCAACAGAAGATTTCACCACTGCACTCCAGTCTGGGCAACAAAAGCGAAACTGTCTAAAAAAAAAAAAAATCAATGCATGTTGCTACAGTGTGTCTATAACAACTCTCCTGACCTAAGTAAACTATTTTTAAGAGTAAAAGTAATTTGGATGGCCTTTGGTTGTCCTCAGTGAGCTGATGTTATAAATTTGCTGACCTTCTTCGGGAGGCTGAAGCAGGTGGATCACGAGGTCAAGAGATCAAGACCATTCTGGTCAACATGGTGAAACCCTGTCTCTACTAAAAATACAAAAAATTAGCTGGGCATGGTGGCACGTGCCTGTAGCCCCAGCTACTCAGGAGGCTGAGGCAGAAGAATTGCCTGAACCCAGGAGGCGGAGGTTGCGGTGAGCCGAGATTGCGCCATTGCACTCCAGCCTGGGTAACAAGAGCAAAACTCTGTCTCAAAATAAATAAATAAATAAATAAATAAATAAAATAAATTTGCTGGCCTTATATATTAATAATAGTTCAGTACAAAGTAGGACTGTTTCAGGTTGAATCATGTCCTCCAAAATTCATAAGGTAAAATTCTAGCCCCAGGACCTCAGAATGTGATCCCATTTGGAAAAAGAGTTGCTGTGGAGATAATTAGTAAGATGAGCTCATTAGGGTAGGCCCTAATCCACTGTACCTCATGTTCTTACAAAAAGGGGGAATTTGAACACAGAGGCAGATGTATGCAAAGGGAAGACGACGTTAAGAGTTCCAGGGAGAAGATAAGATGGCTGCCTTCAAGCCAAGGGGACATGTCTGGAACTGACCATTTCTTTACAGCTCCTAGAAGCAACAGACCTTGCCAACACCTTGGTTTTAGACTGCTGAGAGGGATTAGTTTGTGTTGTCTAAGCTACCCAGATGACGGTACTTTCTTACCGCAGCCCAACCAAACCAATACATGGATACCACATTTTACCATGCGTCAGTCTCCCCTGGGGTTCTTGCTGACTGCAGATGCTGACTAAGGAGATCTGGGGTGGGACCTGAGATGCTAAGAAGCTCCCAGGGGCTCTAAGGGCCTTTGGTTTTCAGACCATATTTTGAGTGGAAATGGTCTAGCGGGCACAGGCACTGTTACAATGACAATCTTTTAAGCACGTTAGAAAAATGTGGTAATGGATGACTGATAAATTAATTTTTTTTTTGAGACAGTCTCACTCTGTCACCCAAGCTGGAGTTCAATGGCGTGATCTCAGCTCACTGCAACCTCTACCTCCTGGGTTCAAGAGATTCTCCTGCCTCAGCCTCCTGAGTAGCTGGTACTACAGGTGCACACGGCCACACTTGGCTAATTTTTGTAGAGATGGGTTTTCACCATATTGTTTAGGCTGGTCTCAAAACTCCAACCTCAGGTGATTCACCTGCCTCAGCCTCTCAAAGTGCTGGGATTACAGGCGTGAGCCACCACACCCAGCTGATAAGCTAATGTGTAAATGGTGGTTTACTTGTTTAAATAGAATTTTAAAAACTTGATTTTTCTAAATAATTTTTGGATTAGAGGAAGTTGTAAATTATATAGAAATTAAAAATAAAAGCCTATCATATTAAAATCTAAGAGATATGACTAAAATTTTAATCAGAATAAAATGAATATTTATAAATGCACAACAAAGAGGTAAAATAATCAAACTAACTTTACAAACTACCAAAAAAAAAAAAAAAACAGGATAAACCAAAAGAAAGAAAAATGAACAAATAAAGATAACTAGATAGCTAGAAATTAATGAACTGGAAGACAAAAAAGTAAAATTGGTGAGTATAATCAAAAGCTGGTTTTTTGAAAGACAAAACAATGCATATCAAGCTTAAAAAGGGAGTGGGAAAATATACAACAAAAAAATGAGGAAGAAGGTGTGGTTCCAGTGGAGATCCTAATAATTAGGGAAATAAGATATACAACATTTTGCCAAAAAATTTAAAAACAGGTGGAATG